AAAATGGATGAAGGACCTCAATGTGAGAAAGGAATCCATCAACATCCTTGAGAACACAGGCAGCAGCCTCTTCGACCTCAGCCGCAGCAACATCTTCCTAGGAACATTGCCAAAGGCAAGGGAAGCAAGGGCAAAAATGAACTATTGGGATTTTATCAAGATCAAAAGCTTTTGCACAGCAAAGGAAACAGTTAACAAAACCAAAAGACAACTGACAGAATGGGAGAAGATATTTGCAAACGACATATCAGATAAAGGGCTAGTGTCCAGAATCTATAAAGAACTTAGCAAACTCAACACCCAAAGAACAAATAATCCCATCAAGAAATGGGCAGAAGACATGAACAGACATTTCTGCAAAGAAGACATCCAGATGGCCAACAGACACATGAAAAAGTGCTCCATATCACTCGGCATCAGGGAAATACAAATCAAAACCACAATGAGATACCACCTCACACCAGTCAGAATGGCTAAAATTAACAAGTCCGGAAATGACAGATGCTGGCGAGGATGCGGAGAGAGGGGAACCCTCCTACATTGTTGGTGGGAATGCAAGCTGGTGCAACCACTCTGGAAAACAGCATGGAGGTTCCTCAAAATGTTGAAAATAGAACTACCCTATGACCCAGCAATTGCACTGCTGGGTATTTACCCTAAAGATACAAACGTAGTGATCCGAAGGGGCACGTGCACCCGAATGTTTATAGCAGCAATGTCTACAATAGCCAAACTATGGAAAGAACCTAGATGTCCATCAACAGACGAATGGATAAAGAAGATGTGGTATATATATACAATGGAATACTATGCAGCCATCAAAAGAAATGAAATCTTGCCATTTGCGACAACATGGATGGAACTAGAGGGTATCATGCTTAGCGAAATAAGTCAATCGGAGAAAGACAACTATCATATGATCTCCCTGATATGAGGGAGAGGAGATGCAACATGGGGGGTTAATGTGGTAGGAGAAGAGTAAATGAAACAAGTTGGGATTGGGAGGGAGACAAACCATAAGTGACTCTTAATCTCACAAAACAAACTGAGGGTTGCTGGGCAGAGGGGGGTTGTGGGGGGGTTATGGACATTGGGTAGGGTATGTGCTATGGTGAGTGCTGTGAAGTTTGTAAACGTGGAGATTCACAGACCTGTACCCCTGGGGGAAAAATATATATATATATATATATATGTTTATAAAAAATAAAATTATAAAAAAAAAAAAAACATTATGACATTGACTTCATGAGTATTTGTTGAGGTGCTTTCAGATACTGTATTCATGAGTCTAACCACTTAAAAAAATTTGCAAATACACCCATATTATATGTATATTTAATCATTTAAAAATGAAAACATATTAATATGCTAACATACTTATGGATTATAATATAGTCAGAAAAACTAAAAAGAAAAGATTAAAAAAATATAAATGGAAATTATCATATTTTTTTCCCTGCATCCCAGTGGATCTGCTATGTACTCTTTGTGGGGTAGGCCATTCTTCAGAGACCACTAAGATAAATATTAATCCTATTATATTATAGTGCAAGGATTATTAATAACGTGTACTAGTACTGCTCTAGTCATCTAACATTGTTGAGAAATGAGCATTCAGCATAGTTTATTTACTATGTAATGGATGTTTAACCCATTATAGGTAGGAAAGGAATCTGGCTAGCTGCCAAGTTGCTCATTGAATGCCCACCACATACTAAATACCATGGTACATATTTTGTGTCCATGATCTCATTTAATTCTAAAAACAATCCTGTGAAATATGTACTATTATGCCCATCTTACAAATAAGAAAACAAATTTTCAGAAGATTAAAATGTTCATGATAGTCACAGTCTAGACAGCATAGTCTAGACCTAGGATAGAATCTCCATTTGCCTATAGTATTCCTAATATACCCACTCATAGCAACATTTTAAAAATTTGTTTTCTTTTTTTAATCTAAAACCATGTTAAAATGATCAAACATTTCCTTTTCTTTTTAAATTCATAGGCTGAATCTCTCTTGGCATCATCCTTACTCCAACCCTCTGGCCTACGCTGTGGCAGTCTACAGAGGCACAGAGATCAGGATAGGATCACTGGCTCAGATACTGATCCCCGAGTATCTAAGTATCCTGATACCTTTTTCACTGATGAAAGTTCATGCTTCAACTCACTTTTACATCATTTGCCCCATTGTTTGATAAGTAAAATAAGTGTGTGCAGATGCACAATATTAACTTCTGAATCAAAAATTAAAGGAAAAAAAATTAAAGTAGATGAGCTTTCCTTTTTTTTTGGTTAGGAAATTTAATTCTTTCTTTTTTATTATTATTAACATATAATGTACTATTTGTTTCAGGGGAACAGGTCTGTGATTCATCAGTCTTATACAACACACAGTGCTCAACACAACACATACCCTCCTCAATGTTACCATTTTGAAAATTATATTGCTGCAAACTTTCTAGTCAATGTATATTGAGCTTTGAGCACCAGTTAAAATGGGTTATGCTATTTTTGTCTAACTAATATAATAAAAAATTATAATCTTTTTAGCTTTCACTCTTTTCCTCTAGGCCACTTATCCAAGAAATCATGATGTAACACTTTACCACGTTGACTACCATATGTTTTTGGTTGAGGAGTAAATAGATGGGCACAAAAATACAGATAAGAATAGACTCCTATTTCAGGACACGAGGTTGTGTCCTGAGGAAGGAGAATGACAGTGGTAACTAAGCGAGACCACTTAATGGATGGTAACCAAAGTAAGATCTCACCTTTCTCCATTAGGGCAGCACGACCCAGCTATGCCTGTCAATCCTTCAATAAATAAATTTGGTATTCTCAACAGAGAATGGATTCTATAACATAGCATAGGTCTAGTGTTAGGAATATGTTTTAGACAGAACATCCAGTTGGAAACTTCAAATCTTTCTTTACAATTTTGTATTATGGCTGGCCTTAATACTATGAGGTATTATAAGGAATCTCTTCCATACGGGCAGACATACCTCTAGAATGGTGCTGTAAGGAATACAGTAATATTTCAGAAAGCTATTGATGGTAATATAACCTGGTTGATCTTTCATTATTGAGTTGTGTTTGTGTAATGTGTGCATAGTGTAACACCAAATTTGGATGCTAAGGGACAGCTAGATCTGAATGATTATTATTATTATTTTTACTCCCCCTTTTCCCTTATTCTCTGCAGCATCAGTAAAGTATGGTCTACAGGTGAAATCCAGCTGATACCCTGGTTTTGTATGGTGCAAAGCTAAGGTTTTTACATTTTTAAAGGACTGGAACAACAACAACAAAATTGTGCCACGGAGGTTTATATGCCCCAGAAAGCCTGAAATATTTATTATCTGGTTATCTGCAGATAAAGTCTATCAACTTATACCCTAGAAAACAGTATAGCATTTCCCTTCTCCTTCCACCTTCTACCTTTCACAATCTCTATCCTCTGCTTTTAAGAGGGCTTATTGCTTAAAAGTCTTCTAAGATTTTTCTCCATTGCTAATCCTTGTCATTTTATTGACTGTTACTCAATTCTTCTTGTCTTTCCAACATCACTTGGCCTCTATTTCCTTTCCCTATTGTGTTCTTCTGCAATTCTTGACTTCAGTATAGAGGAGCTTAGCATTTAATAACTGATACAATAAAAGTATATCTTGCTAGGTAACTAATTATAAAGCATCAATATATGTAATCTTCAGTATTTATCTTAATGTTTGCTGCTTCTTCAGTTGGTTGGTCAAAAAAACCAACCAACAAGAGAAAGTTTAAAGACATTTCTCCTCATTTCATGCCCTCCTTTTTACCTAGATACTTTTCCTCACTCATTTGTCAAAAATTTCATTCTTTTTCTCTTTAACTTTCATGACCCTAGTAGTTCTAGTCCACTCACTTGTTACTGATTATCTCACCTCCAAGCAATGAAGCAAAACTCAATTTTTTTTCTGCTTGAGTATTTTTGTTTGTTTGAAATGTCAAATGTAGTCATATACAAATATATATGATATATATATGTAATATCTCTATCTATATAGATGTATATTAAAGTTTTCTAAATTATGTTTCACTTTTTAAAGATGAATTAAAACTACAGAGGAGTAAACTGGACTTTTTCCAACATGGGTTTTCTCCTCTTTTCAGATACTTGGCTTGATAATTACCAATGATCTATACATAAAAGAGGTATCACATTAGTTACCCACTTTCACCTCATTATGTCCATAAACATGATGAAATGCTCTTAACCTTTTTCTCCTCTTATAGCATGAGACCCTTTACAATACCATATAATTTACAGACCTATGAGGAGATAAGTATGGACATAAGAAGGTCTTCAATTCCTCTCTGATATTTTCAGCAAGTCATCTTCACATTCTAAATATTTCTTATTAAAATCTTCAGCAGTATGTACTTTGACTTTTTTTTTTTACTTATTTACTCTCAAAAAATATGTGTGATTTTTTTCAGTCCTTTCTATTATCACAATTGTGTATATATGATAGAACAATATGGTCCTAAAACATCCAACACCCTAAGCATCATGAAAAAAAAAAAGTTTGTTATGCACTGTTCTAACATCTACTCAAACCATAAAAACAAAGAAGAGTTATCTCATTATTGATGTAATATAGGATATATTCCTGTTATGTAAGAACAAGAACTTCAAGCCTGAATGGCAACAACATTTCTATGTAATGAGTCTGTTTTCACACACCAAATTTAAATGTCTATTTTTTTCTTTTACTGGTATCTCTTGTAGACTAAATCAAACCCTAAGGATGTAATCAAATTAAAAGGATTAGTACTCATTAATAAGCTGGCAGTAACATTTCATCAAAAGTTTGCTAAGTCTCTCTCTGCAAAACCAATAGATAAAAGCAGGCAGCGCATAAAAGTGTCTGTCTACTGCATTAAAATATGACGAAAATAATATTTCTTAACATTGCCAAAGAACCATCTATTTCTGAAGATCATACCAGTTCCCATTGCATAGGCCAGTAAGGGTCATTAAACACCAATGGGTCTCTGAGTCCTTCTTCAGAGTCAATGACATTGTAGACTTCACTCGGGATCTCATTTTCCTCCACACAAGGTCTGCAGGGCAAAGACAGCAAATGAACTATGAAAAACATAATCACTGCTTTTACTGTTGCTTTTTTTGTCATAAAAATTCCATTTATTTAAATTCCATTAAAAAGCACATTTGGCTGCCGAGAGCATAAATATACACTTTTATTATACTTAGCATTTTTCATTTTCAAAAAAAATTCTGACATTTGTTTAGATAAAAATGTTAAAATATTTTCAAACTACCTGTTTTAGCTAAACACTCTCTATGCATTTGTTGCATACAATAAATGCTGGAAAGATGAGTGATTTGAAATGCAATTCAAAAGCTCTGTATATAATTTCCCATTACAAGTTATCAGTTTACACTAAGCATTATCCTTACCATGTCATGTGCCTGTCACTATGACTTTTCCCAAAATACATCTCCTAGGAGAGTGATTTAAATTACTTGAGCTGTAGATAATAATACTGTTTTTAAATCTCAGTTTTCTAATTGCTCTTATGTATTTAATAAATCATTAACTGAGCAAGTGACAGTGCTAGAAATTCAGGAAGGCCTTTAACACAGTGTTCTCCTAAAGACAGAACTGCAACTCAGTCATTCATACCTGCCTGTGCACTTTGGAGGATTTCCAAAACAAAATATTGGGGTAAATAATAAAACAATAACATTGACAGCAACTCTATCATAGAAATAAATTTCAGTTTAGTAAAATGATAGAAAAAATTAAGCTATCATATATTAGTCATTCTTATTTATAAACATATATAAGATTAAACTATTATAAATTTATTAAGAATAGGATTTACTTCTAATTTCAAGAAAGTCCCAGACCTGTACACATACTGTGTTTGGGAATTATTTGCCAATTTATTAACAGCTTATCAAAATGGAATAGCTGAGTATCAACATTTACATTAGAAGATATATTCCGAAATGTTGTTTACGTCATCATTTGCAAACAGTGGAAAACGAAACAACTAAAATGTCCATTAAGTATGAAATTGTTTTTAAAATCATGTTATATTCATGCCATGAAATACTATTTTACCTGCAGGTATCAATTGGATCCATTTGGATCAATCTCAAAAATTATAAGAAGGCAGAAGGCTATGTACATTTTGTTATCATTTATATAAAGTTTAAGTCATCTCAAAAGAACTTTATGAATTATTTTAAATGATACATATAAAGTATATGAATCTAAGCATACAAAGAAGACTCTTCTGAAGAAGGTGAAGAGGGGAATAGTTTTAGGAGGGGTACACAGAAGAATTCAACTCTAGTGATTTATTCCTTTTAAAAACCTGGGGCCATTATGACAAAATGACAAAGTCAACAAAATAGGGATGTTGTGTACATATTATGCATTATATTGGTGTGTATATTTTTGTGTATATTTGGAGTATATTATAATGACAAAACACACATACACAAACAAAACTAGTAGAGCCTAGCTGTTACATCAGTGAGCCAAAGATGGCTTCTGTACATTGGCCCTACGTTGTTTACTTCACAGCCAGCTGGGACCTACTAGCTCCAAAGCCCACTGGCACAAAAAAACCCTCAAATTTTTAACATCCAGTTGTTATAAATATATTCCAAATAAGCAGAATCTTAGCCATTTATAGCCTTCCTGCCTTGCATAATGCACACAACTGAACCCAATATCTGAAAGCCATAGGTAAGATAAACTCTATTTCTATAAAAGAATCCAAGTTTCTGCTTGCCTTCAGAGCTCTGTGACCCAGAGACTCGCCATCATGCAGCCGACCAAAATCATCTAGACTCCTAACTCCTTTTCCCCTTCTGGGGAGTAGTGCTCATCTCTTACCTCCAGAGGGTCTCCTGCTGTGAGGGACTTTCCCCACGGGCAAACCTGCCAAAGCACTGCCCAGATAAAACTCCTTGTGTGCTGCTGCCACCTCATGGTCATATCTGTTTCCTTGATCAGCCCCAAATCCCTCAATCTGAATACTGGTAAAGAGAAATGAGAAAGATAGCAGAATAGAGTCCAAAGACCTGACTTCTAGATTTTGCACTCCACTTTGATTCTTTCAATGATCAAAAGGGTTCAAAATAACATTAATTTAGCTAAACATTTCCAGACTTTTGTCAAGAAGAGGATCATTATTTCTTCAGGAATGGCTGTTAGATTTGTTTTCAGAAAAATAGATTCAAACACATTTGGATGTCCACTTAAAAGATTGATATATCGTCCAAGAAAAATGTAACATGGTGTTCACGAGGTGTCTGGCACCCTCCCAGCCTGCCTGCTTGCACACCGAAGCTCTCCTTCCTCTACCACTGCAATCACCACAGTTCCTATCAACTATTAAAGGATAGTATTTCAAACTTATGAAATAAAAAATTTAAGTAGGAGAGGAAAAAGGAAGTTCTATTAAATGTAAGAATTTAATTTAAAAATACCAAAGCAGTGACAATGAAAGTGGAATAAAAGTAAGCATAAAGCAATAAAGTAACAAAAATTATTAAAACAACTTATTACAAAAATGAGGAATTAAAAGTACTTGGGCATAGAAAAATATTTATTGTGATCTCATTGTTTATTTCTCTCATATGTTTATATAAGCATGAATATTTATGGAAGAATACTTAAGAAAATGGAAAAATGAGAGATTGAAGACATTTCCTTATGACCTTCTTACCATTTGATTTTTTTTTACCAAGTGCTAGCACATTTACATTTTAAAACTTTTTAAGACAAAATGAATATCAAAATGTCCCAGATTTTCAATGAAATTTGGGAGTTAGAAGTTTTAATAATTTTTTTTTAATTTTTTTTTAAGATTTTATTTATTTGACAGAGAGAGAGAGATCACATGTAGGCAGAGAGAGAGGGGTGAAGCAGGCTCCCCACCGAGCAGAGAGCCCGATGTGGGGCTTGATCCCAGGACCCTGAGACCAGACCCGGGCAGAAGGCAGAGGCCTAACCGAGCCACCTAGGGGCCCCTAAAATTTTTATTTTTTTAAATATTTCTATTCAACAGAATGTCCGCAAGCTGTATTTGCTTGTCACAAATTTTGACCTTTGCTTTATATTCTCAAAACTCTACTATATGTCATTATAATTCAGAGATGTAGGAATCCTATATCTTGAGACAACAGCAAATAAGAATAGAATAGGTTCCTTCATTCCAAGATTTGATGTAAATTAACATTATAATCAATTGAATCTGAAAATCACTTCATTTTGTCTAGCTCAAAATAAAAGGAGTACTTTTTTCAGACAATTATACTTCAATGTTAATACTTATATCTTTATTTTTACATCCCATTCAGCTGTTTTCTCAAGACTAAATTGAGAAAATATATAAATATTTTGTTAGTCTAAACTGGTTAGCTTTCAAAATATTTTTTATAATTATATTTTAGCACATTTGCTAAGCTGCAACATTTCATATTCCTCTTCATAACTGACTCATGAACACACTGATCTACACCAAGTATATATTGGTGACACATATGCAGCAACCAACAGGTGCCTTCCTCATCTTGCATGTCCCTGAAGAGCACTTGCTGTCTTCAGAAATGATTAAAGTGACCCAGGCTTAAATGTCCCATTATAACAATTATGATTCTTATAACTGAAGAAAATTATGTGAAAGCTACATCTTTCTGTTGGATCCAAATTCACAGAAATACACAGCTGAGATTCAGAGCCCTAAATAGGATGTCATAGAGGAAAATATCAAACTGACTGTGAATGAGGATTACCTTTCAATTTTTAAAAATAATAATATTAACCATTGCATCATTATCTATTATCTTTCTGCTAGGTGTTCTATAGAAAAGCTATATTTTAGAAGGAGGAAGCAACATGGTGGAGGAGTAGGAAACTGAAATAGCATTAGGTCCCAAGAGTTCAGCTAGATAGTTATCAAGCCATTCCAAACACCTAAAAACTCAACAGGAGATAGAAGAGAAGAAGAGCAGCAATTCTAGGAACAGAAAATCAACGACTTTTAGGAAGGTAGGATGTGCAGATAAATGAATCCGAAGCAACTGGAAGATAAACTGTGGGGGAAGGGGCAAGCAGTGGAGCAGTGGAGCACAAAAACAGAACTTTTAGAAGTCTGCTCCACTGAGTGACTTCGCTTCAGAGGCTAAGCGGGGGTGGAGCCTTCATGGGGACAGTGTGGTCTCAGGACCAGTGGGGTCACAGAAATACCAGGGGTATCTGAGTGTTGCAGAGATGCCAGGTATTGAAGCGGGGAGCAGACTACAGAGACAGAGCCTAGAATGGAGCTTTCAGCTCGGGGATACCTTAAACCTTGAACCGCAACACAGTCAGGCCACTGCTCTTTGAGCAGGGACCCCACAAGTGGCAGATCTGGAGAGACCCCCATCTTCCTCCTCCAGGATGAGTGGCGCAGGAGTACACAGCAGGGATCTGCTGGGTTTGGAGACTCCAAATGGGGCTGTGTGCCAGAGATAGAAATGCTCAGTCACAGTCCGAGTGAGGCCAAATGCTAATGGACACCGGCAAGATGGGAGGGATTGACTGCTTTTCTCTGTAGGCACACTGCTTTTCTCTGCAGCCCCTGATCCCTTGGCTCCTACAGGTTGGAGATTGGGAGGCTGCCATTTTCATTACCATCCTCCAGAGCAATACGGAGAGTGTTCAGGGAATAAAAGCTCCCAAGAGTGAACCTAAGCACATTACTTACCCTGGCCTCTGGCCCCTGGCCCCTGGCCCCTGGCCCCTGGCAAGGGCAATGCAATTCTGCCTGGGGGGGCAAAGACATTTGAGAGTCACTGCAACAGGCCCCAGCCCCAGAAGATCAGCGAGAACATCCAGCCAAGACCAAGTTCACTGATCAATGAGAACTGTGGAACTCCAGAGCTAAGGGAAAGCAACCCAGAATTCATGGCTTTTTTCCCCATGATCCTTTAGTCTTGCAAAGTTAAATTTTCTTAATTTTATTTTTTCTTATTCTTTTGTTAAAATTTTATTTATTCATTTGACAGAGAGAGATCACAAGTAAGCAGATCACAGGCA